TTATAAAAGTGGAGAAGAAATGAGGAAAGAGATAAATAAGAAAGTGAAGAATGAAAGATTAAGAAATAAGGAAGTAAGGAAGAAATCAATATAGAAATAGAAGAAAATTCGAAATGGATAAGGGAGGTAATTCCACGAGTCCAGTATAGGAGACCGGCTCGAGGAGGAATGAGCGCTCCGAGTCCGGGCACTGCCTCGAGCGCTCCCCCCTCTCTTCGTCAGTTCCCACTCGCCGCTTGCTCCCACTCGCCGAGCCATGCGCGACGAATCTGCGCGCACACAATTTTGCACAACTTGTACTTCTAAATATGCTTGGCCAGATTTTCCGATTTTTAAGTGTTAATATTTTACTTCATCGATTTAATTAATTATTTTAATGTTCTAAACACCTAATTTATTAATATTTCAATTTGAAGGTAATTTATTTTCGATATTCTACAATTTCAATTCAATTGTTATCTACTCCGTATATTCTGCGAGATTTTGATTTAGCCTACATAGATTTTGATTTATCATACTTCTCAAAAACTATTGAAAAAGCCTATTGATAAAACTTTTTTTAATTATTGGGGTGCTACACGGGTGTCAAGTTGGCACCGCACTTTCTTAAAAATATCATAAAATTGCTTCAACAATAGGCTTTTTCAAGAGTTCTTGAGAAGTTCTGTAGTTCCCGGTCTCGTTCCAAGTATTGCTTCGGGAACCATCAGTGAGGTAGCGAAGAACCTCTGCCCGGCTACAATGGGATTCGCATTATCGACTGAGGCGATGATCACAAAATCCTACTCCTGAACTCGCCGCTATGATTTAGCGCCATGATATTGGTATCGCCTAAAACCGGAGCGTTGTGCATCTCCCTACTTATCTCTGCCATGAGAATCGGTTGATTGACAATCTCTCTACTCATATCTGTTGCGCAGGTTTTCACCGAAGCTACATCTTTCGGGCATGGCGCGTAGCATAGTGCAGTAGCATAGTTAAGCATAGTATGTGTGAGCACGCGAGCCGCCATATTGAGCGAATGTTGATGCTATGTGCTGTAGGTGTTTACGCCGCTCGTCAGAAACCCGAAAAACGTATCGATTGCCGTGTTACGCGCTTGAGGATCGCGTGGACATCTTACAAAGTGGCATTGAGTTTTTGCGTGTTAAGAAGATGAGCGGCTACGACGGTAATGAGGATAGTCAATGTGAGAGGACCACGGAACGTGAGGCTACCGCAATGGGTGACGTCCTGGCGAAGGAACACACCGAGGATATTCTTTGTGGCGGCCTTGATGCACCCGTTGATCCTCCTCTACGAGATCAACGGCAGGAGGCCGATGGAGCAGCTGATACTGATCACGATGCACCTTCACCTTCTGCCAACGATTTCCTCGTATCCGCCTTGGTATATCTAGTCCCATCTTCGTGGTCTTATGTAGTGTCTGGGCTAATGCTGTTTTATTAAATCTTTTTCACGTTCTTATTTATTTTTGTCTTGAACTTGCAGTGCTTGACAATCGATCAAATCGTTCAAAGTGAAGCTCTCCGCATTGAGGATGATCATCAAAACGATGAATTATCCTCTGGTAGGGTAAATTCTACTTCGCTCACTAATGGTTGCTTAGATTTGGCACTGAACCCTGGTAGTCCACCAAGGCATACTAAAGCCAACTGTTCCTGTGACACTTGTAAAGTTAAGAGGTGAGTACTGTTTTGGAGTTTATTGATTTAAGGAAGTAAGAATAAGAATCAGAGTGGTCATTAACTTTTATCGTTGTAGAGAAAAGTTTAAGTTGGAGCTAGAGGAGGCATTAAGACTGCAAAGCCTGTGGCTGCAGCTGAGGCAGTATATATTAAATGTATTTAATACAGCCGTAGAGACTGCCCGTACTCCAGCATCACCACGACTACAGAGTGATAATCCTTGTACAGCTCTTATGCATAGTGCAGTTATCCAGTAAGAAGGTTTTAATTATTTTTTACTTTTTTTTGAGATTTTTTTGATCATTACATTTCATTTTTTAGATTATGTAAGATGGACTCACAGCAACTTTTCATGAGATTAGTGGGTCAGGTGCAAGAATTTTTATTAGATGTAAAGGTTCATCTTCTGGGGTTGTTACATGACCACCACATAGATAATTTAGCAGAGGTCTTTTTAATCGGTAAGTACACCACAAGCTATTTACAAAAGTATTAATATAAAACAAAATCCTAAACATGATATGCCTAGTTGTGTATCTTGGCCTCAGCTGAGTTGAAGAATTGTGAAATATGCACCTGATTCGTAAATGTTCCCAGTAGAGGATATTTGCAGTAATTCTATGGCACTACTGACACTTGCAATAGAAATATCATTAATGTGTAACAGAAGACAATAGAGTCAAACAGCCTTCTGAATATAAAGATAGCCATGGCCCGTCGGATAATCAGTCACATTGGAACTGGGCCATTTCTCTAAATATATCACATGTGTTCACAAAAAAAAAGTAGAAAGAACAAATTTGAACAGACAACTCAACTTCTGCGCTTAAGGTTCTCTTACCATGAAAAGTGTAACACTAAATATTCATCAGTGTATAAATTCCCTGTGGGAAGTTCGATGAGATATGTAAACATAAAATCACGCTCAAGTATTTATAGTCATATATTTGCAGCTGCCCTGGTGCAGTTTGCATTTGAAATACAAGCGAAAGTGTACTTTTCACTGGAAACACGTTCACTTTGTGCGATTAGGACTCTCGGATGGTTACGACGCGTTGATTTCGGCTACCTCGAAAATTTCGCCACTCGTCGAGCCTCTGGAAAAGGAGTACCTCTGCAAGTTCAATCTGACGTGGAAATGTTTAAACAAGAAACTGTACCAGAATTATGTATATACAGATTCGCGGGTGCAAGATAATTTGCAACCTTTTATAGGACAGGTAAGGTAATGCTTTCCACCTAAAATTTCAGTGAGGAAGAAGATATAAACGAAGCAGATATAGTGAAGCATGTAATGTTACAGTTGAGAAAGTCACTCCCGCACAGAGGTGCCGAATACCAGAAGCTGGTGTACAAATATTTGGCATTCGATGATGAGATGACGAGGATCGGCGACTCGTGGCCGGAGACAGAACTACTCATAGAAAAGTACAAGTAAGCTCAAGTTGACGCGTTTTATCGTAGATATTTATTACAAATAAAATGTATGCAATGAAATTTCTTGCAGTGGAGAACAAGCTGAGCGGATGACGAGTGTTAGGAAATTTAGAGAAGGTTGGGAAATGTTTACAGCCAGGCGGAAACTCATGCAGCAGAGAATGTGGACCAAACCGACAGAAAATGAAAAGTTAGAATTATTTTTTTTAAGATCTATTTTTACCACGGAAAATTCTTTGTCTGACTAAAAAAACTTTTTATCTAATTTTTTAGTGAACTCCGAGAATTCGATGGGCAGTTACTGTCTCTCGTGACTCGAGGTATCACCGGAACTCCAAATTCTGACAGTCGACCGTCAAGTCCAAATTCAGAATTAAGTCTGGACACGCCAAGTATATCAATAAGCAATGACGCTATGCAATTGGCACACATCGTGGAGTCCTTAACGGATACAGAATTTCAACGCCGTACTAACGGCGCTAAGTTTCCATTAACAGGTGTATTTCTAGAGTCCTTTAAGTTTGGATATGAATACAAGAGGAAAGCCATACTTGCTGAACGAGCTATAAAATCTACCAGGTAACGTACTAAACAAGATAATAGACCACTGATTGCATGTAGCGCACAATGTAAATATTTCACAGAGAAATCAACAATTAATTCCTTTAACTTCTTAGTCCAATAAACAATGAAAGAGTCGACGGCGAGGGTAGCGAAAACGGATGCACGGAGAGCGAAGACGAGAGATGCGAGTGTCACGCGCGTAGTCTGGAAGTTGAGCAACAGCAATCTGAAGATGTGCGAAATGGGGTACCGGAGGATACAGATCTAAGAAAGAATGAGCCACAGCCATGTCCTTGTGTTTATCAGCATGCGAAAGAGCTCGCAGAACAAAAGAAAGACATCGTCGATAATCCTCCGTGTCCCTGTTTGCGGAAGACTAAAAAAAAAACTGTGGCAACTACTATCCCTAGTATTCCAGTCAAGACGAGTCCTGAGGCGAAAAAGCCGATAGTAAAGACCGGGTCTACGCAATCTGCACAGACGCAAACACGGCACTCGACGACTCAGACACCGAACACAAATCATAATCACAATCACACCATGCATCAGGGTAGGTGTAAGTTATACGTCGTTCCATTGATTAATTTTATTTATTCCTAAACTATGATTTCTGTCATCATATATTCTATGGAGATCAGAAAAGTGATGCATCGATTATTGTCGATTTTTAATGTCCTTTATAAAGCACTTTCTTCTCTTGTTCAATAGGTTCTACGCATGCACATTCTCACGGACCTTTACCAGACCTCATGAAAAACACAGGAACAGCACACAGAGGGCATACACAGAACAATCATACGCCACACGCTTGTCATAAGCAGGCCAATATAGAGCACATCAAGAGAGTTTCTTGTAATGATTGTCAGTATTATTAACATAGATTGATGTTAAGTTTTATTGGATAGTTTTAAAATCAACTTACCTATGCAGTGAGCACAGCTGACGGGGACTGTTCGGATTCGGGAAGTAGTCAAGAAGATTCCTGTTCCACTAGTAGCTCGACACCACGAGATTCCAGTAGACACTGTGATTGTTGCTACTGTGAGGTCTTTGGTCACGGTGTTGTGAGTATCAGTCTAGTATGGTAATAACAAAAAAATAATGTTGACATTGAATTGTTTTTATAGAAGTATTCTGTTTTAATTTTAGCCATCGGTTGCGCCTGTTAGTCGAAATTATAATGAGATGAGGGAGAGACTAAGACAATTGTTAACAAAAAAGAAAGCAAAAAAATGTAAAGCAGCTAGCAGTCCTCCAAAAAGTCCAGTCGAATCGATTCCAGTAAATCCTACCGTGCATCCGAAACCGGCATCGAGTCACTCAGCGGCTAGGTCGAACACTCCAGTGTCCACGACATCTACGGTTCATCAGGAACAGAGAGATCAACGAGATTTGGAGACGTTGCTTGAATTTATCGAAGGCAATCAAAATGGCAAGAGGGATAACAAGAAGGCTGAGAAAAAGGCGCGGCAGAAACAGCGAAAAGTAAGTTGTAAATTAATTAAAAATATTGAAATATGATTAGAATGTAATGATAAATTTTGTATAGCTGGAAGAGAAGCTCAAGGGGGACAGACAAGAAGCAGAGAGGCAAAAGCTGATAGAGCTTCAAAAGAAGACGCCGGAAGTGACCATTACTGTCGTGGATCCTCAGAAACCTGTACCTCAGAGGTTACTTCCTCAGCGTACTCTACCGGAAGTCTCTATTTTACCGGCATCTTCACCTGTCGTATTAACGACGTTAAAGCAACCTACTAACAATAAAAAGAAGGACAAGCCGGAAGTCGCTACCGGTAACAGCGGTACGAATAGTGCCAAAGCGAAAACTATGACTATAAATACTAATCAAAAGAATAAGAGTGCAGCTGCGACTGACAGGGTGGATGGAATCGTTCATTCTAGTCAGACAAACAAACTGTCGTCTAAGGTTGACAAAGCCGATGTTGGCAAAGGCAACAACAGTAAAAATACAGTAACGAATAATAATGTGACAAGTGCTAAGAATAGTAACTCTAGTGTCTCACTGTCCTCGAATACCGTTGATAGTGATAAGAAGTTGACGAAAAAGGAAAGGAAGAAATTGAAAAGGGAACTGAAGAAGAACGAAGAGGCCAAAGTGAAAGAACAAGAGAAGCCGTCGCAGGCGGAAAATCAACCACAAATTGTTACTATTAAAAGGGTAATGGAATCAAACAGTGCTGAACCAACTGTCACCATAACTCTAAAGGGTCAAACTCCAGCCGAGGATAAAGTCCTTTTTACGTTGGTTAATGGACAAACTAAGGAACCAAATCCAATGAAGCCTGAACAACAACAGGGTCAAAATAGTAATAGTGGAAAGAAAAAGAAGACGAAAGGTGGGGCGAATCAGCAACAACAATTGACTAAATCTCAGCAGCAACAGACCCAGTCTAACGTATTGAAACAACAACAAACCAACACGATAGACGCGAAAAGTGCGAAACAGCAATCAATCAATGACAAGCTGAAAAATGCAAAACAAGCTGAAGACAACAAGAAATCTCAACAACAGAGCACGAACGATACAAGGAGTACAAAGTCTAAGAAAGATAAGAAAAATGCCGAGAATAGAGAACCTATTTCGCAACAGAATACTCAAAACAAAGGTAAACATCAACAACAAACCGGAAACAACAAAAAGCAAAACAAAGTTAGTACACCACCGCAAACACTAACGACTCAAAAACATCAGCAAAGTTCTACCACCAGCGATGCAAATGTTAAAAAAACAAAGGGTCAACAGCAACAGGAGAAGAATTCTCAATCAAACACTGGAAAGACAGTAAAAAATAATAACAACAATAACAACAGTAACAATAATGCAAACAAGTCGACAAAGAATGATCATCAGAAGAATCAAATAAAGTCTAATCAGTGCATACCTAAGCAAAAGTCTTCTACCGAAATTCAAAACACTGCCACAGAACGTTTCGACTCACCGCTCAGTAGTCAATTTAAAGATATCGGTACAAATTCTAAGATAAACATTGAGAATCTTAAGCTCCCGCCAGGCATTACGATAACAAAAGTCGATGCACCGGCGAAACCACTTCCAATCAGATCCGCACCAATGCCTAAGCCAGTAAGTCCGCCCAAGCAGACGACGATTATTGCAGCACCAATGAGTGGTGTACAATCGAGTTACGCCGGTCCACAAAGCGGCGGCAACGTAATTGTCGTTGATACCGGAAAGCTTAAGCAAGATCTAATACCGAAGACTAGCGACAAAGGTAAGCCTACCTAATTACACCTAATCTCTCTTTCATTTTTTTTATCCAGAACTCTAACCCACACAATAATTCCTTCAATTACAGAATCACCCAAGGAGTATCAACAGCCACAAAGCGTCAATGGGAAAAAGAAGAAGAAGAAGGGTAAAAATGCATCAGGCGCGAGCTCAATGAACGTTTCCATAACGCCAACTAACAATCAGCCATCTGGCGGGTCAGTGTCGAAGGACCATACAGATGAGCCGGCCAGGATACTTCACAATCCCGGCACAAATATGGTAACCATAAGGAATCCAGCATTTGGTCCACCAAAGGCGGAGCCCACTCAACAGGCTGCCATTATAAAGGTGTCCGAGAATGGCATGGTCACAATAAGGAGTCCAGCGCTACAGCAAGCCATTAATGCAGGACTGACGCCACCTCCGAAGCCCGACTTTATCGTCAAGGGTGATCTGTCCTCGTCGAACGTTTCCAACGGCAGGACGAACCTGATGCCGACCAACAGTGCTAGGCAAACAAACAGTATTATTCCATCGAGTCTCGCTGAGCTGCGAAGCAGACTCACACCGGACTGCACGGGCCTGACCGGTCTGGCGAATATTCAGATCAGCAAAGTGACCAACGGACAGCCTATACCGGAGAACGGTATCAATTTGAAGGGTACCAGCGTGACCTTGACCAAGGTCAGGTCGGAAGCGGTTATGGATGACGTCCAACAAGCGAAGACGGCAGTTCGCGAGGCGATAAGCGCCACGATGGCAGCGAGCGGGAGCGGAAAGGGGAAGAAAAAGAAAAAAAAGGGCAACGGCACCAGACAAAGCGGCGATGACTGGAACCTCGTTGGTGAGAAACAACAATAATCAAACTTTAACATGTAAATTTTTGCTTCCTTTTTTTTCTTTGGTTCTCATACAAACGCGCTGACGATATTCCCATATATATATGTGTATATATATATATGTATGCATTCTATATATACACATATATATATATATACACACACACACATATATTATTGATATATACATCTGTGTTGAGGAATCATTCAAGGTGTGTAATGTCTGATATGCTTCGCGATCAGGAGGATATTTTTTTTTTGTTAGAACCAAGAGAAAAAGCGCATCGTATTGGGCTAGAATGTGGTATTTTCTAGCGGTTAGAGATCTTGAAAAGATTTATATACTCTTTATCGGTGAACGTAGTTAATGCTTCCTCTTTTTTTTTTTTATCTATTTTCCATTGACTACACATTTTTTTTGTCTTCCTCATCTCTTTTGCTACTACAAAGTTCATTTTTATTTTAATCTCACGTACTACGCGATACGATGATTTCACGTTAAAGTTTGCTGCCCCGAAATTTCGTCCCGCATTATTGTATATAAATGAATTTTCATATACTTTATATTTACTAGACTTAGGGGGAACAGCTTAGCTAATCATCATTTAACTAAAATGACTCCGAATAATCGTTTGAAGTAGTGTTTAAATTAGTCAGTAAAATAATTGAGAACAATGAAGAGAGAATAAGTGAATATTAAGAGAAAAAACAAAAATCATGAAAGAGACAGAGAAAAAAGAGAGATATGTCTACATACACGTACAGTAAATACAATGTAGTAATACCATGGCGTTACATGAAATTTATTGAAAATTTTGAGACACGCCTGTTGTGCATACAAACATACACGCGCACAGTACATCTGTCTGATCGACCGAAGAGAATCAATGTGATATTAAGACATAGCTGATACAACCTATAGAGGAAAGGCCATATTTTTTATCTGCTGATAACAGTGCAATAAAATTTATTTTTTTTCAAAGCTACACTCTCTTTCTTCCTCACGGAAATTCTCCCAATATCGCATGGGCATGGGATACGCATCAGTCGATAGTATCGCAGGATACAATTGCGTTATATGCTCCAGTCGTACATTTTTCAATATCATTAATACTCTAACTGTCTTTTTTTTTTATTTATTATATGGACAATAGAAGGGGACCAATTTTCATGCTCATGCGGTAGACGAACACGCCATAAGGAAAAGAAAAAGAATCGATAATAGAAAGCATACGCGAAACGAATGAAAGCAAAAAAAAACACAAGCGTGGCATTCATTCTCAAAATTTCTCGTATTCAGAGCGTGTCTTTTGCAGAGAGCGTATTCACGCCAAAAGATATAGACCTCGAGGACGGCGAGATGGACGATGCGGAACGTGAACTGGAGGCCTTCAAGAGGTTCTGTCTGCAATCGGTGCCACCTGCTCGCAAGGAAAAGGTTAATCTCAACATCAAGGACATCGTCCTCAAGAAGAAATCATCTGCTGCCGTTATAGCGGCCAACTAAAGACTTTGTCTCCGCACTGCCTGCCAGCAGAAGTTCTCGCGATCTTCCTGAGTCAGCTCGTAGTCGCCCTCGTCGTCGAGATTTAGGACCACGAGGATAAAATGCGATTAGAGTAACCATGGAAACTGATGTATAATCGCCTCGTGGACTCCGTCTGGTGTTCCTTCTAAGAGAGTAGTGTAAGGGAGATGAGAAACAAAGGAAGAAAACAAAAACAAAGATGATCCTGTCGGAACGTTCGTAACCTACAGAGACTGCTCTCTTTCTATCGCTCTCTCTCTCTCTTTCTATTACTCCGTTCTCAATTTCCTGCTCTGTCTCTGTGTCTTTGCCTCTGTGGATCCAATCTTGTCAACGGGAACGTTCCGGCAGGATCGTTATATTAGAAATTAAATTCTCAGATAGACTGACGATCTTTCCTTCGTTTCATAAGAAAAAATAATAATAATAGGTCGCCATTTGCAAGGCGTTCTTTCGTTGTAATTATAATAGACGGGAAGATCGTCAGACTTGCCGATTTTGCATGATGCAAGACGATGAGAAGGATTTCTATGTGACGTTAGTGAATCTTTTAAAAGGACTAATTAACGGAGGATCTTTTACTTTAATCTATTATCACCGTATTCTCTTTTGACGACCGTCGGGATATCATTTTATATGCGATATAAGTGATAACGAGGTACCGGTATTGTACGTTTTAATTTTTCCCATTTTTATTGGGAATCATTCGCGAGTGATGCGTTGACGTTATTGTACATATATGTAGCATAGACAAAAGGACGTCACTCTGTGCTCGAATTGGAGATGACGTCAATTGATGAGGGAGACACGTGAAGAATCCTTATCGAAGGGTCATCGCATCCTTATCGTTAGCAACATTGTACTGTAGAATAGCGTTTCTTATATTAAGATATATTTCGTCAAAATAGTAGACTGTGACTGATTATTTCATTTGTCATGGACCAAAACCAACCCGTCTCATCTCCTTATATCCCATTGAGAAAGTATATTCAAAATGGCGTAGCGATGATGACAGGATAAGCACTGAGACTTCCTGCTTGGACTTACATCTTGGCAAGACGACGCTCGAGACTCTGTGAGTTTTGCGAAAAGGAGGTAAGAAAACATGTGAAAAAAAAAAAGAAAGGATGAGGAGAAAAGAGTCTTTGGTGTCTGGAATATACCGGAAATCCGGATTTCGTTTCATTCTATCCTCACCTCCTGTCATTAGGGGTTACTGTTCTCTACAAGCAGAATAGGGTAATTGGGGTTAACGAGGGAAATTCAAAAAGCTAAAAATTATCTATTCTTTCCAAGCATCAAGTATACAGACTGAAAAAGTTCCCCAAGGGTATACGTCGAACTGAATGTCCCACACCCTAGGAGAAAAATATTCTTTTAAAAAAAAAAATATTCTCTTTAAACGTCATCCCTCACCTTTTCTTCTTTCAGTACAATAATAAATAACCAACACAATAAACGTGACTCGCGCTACTAATGTCCAGCTCAGGAAAATCTTCAAGGACGCTCCTTTGATTTCCAAAGTCTACGCCAATGGAGATCCTCGTGTAGAAACCCCCCAAATAAGATAGCCAATAGGGAAGAAAGGGTAAATCCCAAACGAGCTACCTGTACTTTGAGTAAAAAAAAATAAAGAATTATGGTCCATATGTGATCGTGTCACCGCGGATGACACTTGGATATAAATTTCGGAATTACAAAGGACAATAACACGGGTTGATTTATCGCAGACAGGGTAGTGGCTTTTGTTCGGATCTGAACCCTCATTACACAGGTACACAAACGTATATAACATAGGGAATTCTATTTCCTCCAACAGCACCTCGAGTCACGTACCAACCGATTGCGGATTTATTTCCGACACGGCGCCATGGAAATGGGATCGAAACGACGTTCTGCCCTTTGTGAACTTTTTACTTTTTATTTCCCCCATAGTTCTCTCTCTCTCTCTCTCTCTCTCTCTCTCTCTCTCTCTCTCTCTTCTCTTAAGCCACTATTAACGCCCTACCATTCTTAAAGAAGTTGAACGAACCTAGAACAAAGGACAGTCCGCACAGAAGCTACGAGGACGCGCAAAGTCCTAACGCGAGGCGCAATGCAAAATGCTCTTTGATTTGTATTCATCGATAGGAAGATCATCTGACATCGCTTCGATGAGGAGGCGCCAGATTGTCGAGGGTATATTTATTCCTGCCGTGCTGCAACAGAAGTCGCATGCATTATTCCACGACGAGCCCGATGTCTTTTGCAAGGAAGAAATTAAAACAAATCGCTACCACTCTTACCCCACTGGTTTTCACATAGAGAATAATTAAGGATATCGATCTTGATCTTTTATCTTCGAAGCAGAGATTTATCGTACCACCCTTCGGGTCTCTATGGCGATCGTGAGTGCCGGAAAGGAATCCTTGACCACTTTAAAAAGTCCTTAGGTGCACTTCTTTTAGCTGGAACCCGTGAAAATCTGTATAGCCCATATTTTTTTCCCCTTCTAAGCGCCGGCAGATTTATTACACCCCCTTGGATACTTTTTGACCCTTCCACGCGGAACGACCCTTGGTAAAAAAAAAGAGAATGTGAGCATCTGGGATACTTATAAAGTGTCGGATAAAGATACTCGGGGTGAGTGCAGCAACCCTCTCGAAGGGACACGTTCTACCCTTAGAGACTCGGTGACACTTGAATCGTGCCGAATGTAAAGTAACACCGACCTGTGGACCATCCGGATCTCTGCTTACCATAAATCAGCGATCGTTATGGCATAATGAGCGGAGAGGAGACGAGTACAGAATTTCGAAGCCGTATTAAGATGTAAGGGGTGAAATATTGTTAGTTTCTTCGTACGGAGCCTGTGTTGATAGTCTTCGGGAATGTTCGGTAAGATTCGGTCAGCTGTCATGGATCGAATTGAAGGATGAATGGATTTATATATATATACACATGTATACTATAAATACATTACAAATACTGTAGAAAATCTTTTGGGTGAATTCGCCAACAGTTTCTTCTACGAAGAGTCGAGGGAAACAGGACGTACGCATTGGGAATTAATAAAGCTGTTTGAAATTCGAAATACCGGACACGAACCTGAGTATTCGTTGCCTGCGGATGTGTGAAGAGCTCGGGATACTCCGTGGGATATTTGCCAGGAGACTTAACAGGGTAACGTAACTGGGCACCATGTCCGATTCTCTGACTTACTTTTCCTTTAGATTAGCCGCTATTGATCTGGGATGAAAGTTCAATCGTTAGTCTATAGATATACAGAATGTGGGTCAGGGATATATATATATATATATATATTTAGATCAAGTTAAATTTATTTGTACTATTACATTAGGCAACTCTTGGAACTTTACTTTTCTTTGATTTCTGGTAAATGAATGTGTGTATACTTTACAAAGAGAAAGAACAGAATCGTATTTAATTTATGGGTTATTATTAATTACAATCTTTGTAAGTGTCCTGTGTATGATTTATATATTGTAGAATGTAGTGAAAGCATACACTGGATGTATATTCCAAGTATCGCTTTTGAAAGCTCACCAGTATCAGCTATAAAAGTCCGCTTCTTTGTGTTATAAGGTAACAGGAAACAGGCTAGTTCGTAGCTGAGCTTCCATAAATCCCAGTTACACTGTTTTTCTTCCTATTAGATAAATTGACGTTGAACTAAGATTTTTGGTATTCCTTCCAGGAATTTCAAGGGAGGCTTAATGATCTTGGAAGCTATTCACCGCTGTCTCGCAGCTACTCCTATCGTTCATTGCAGGCCACTTACCTCTCCTTAGGTCACACCCGCGAAACTCGACGGTAAAATTGCGCCTTCGAAAAAACCATAAAGTATTCTAAATTACGCGGACCGCTTGACGAAGTGGCGTGGAAGGATGGTACGTGCTGAGAGCACGGCTCTCACTATTTCAGTCGAGATCAAACGCGCCAGAGACCCATCGGCATTTATGACGGGACGGGCCTCCCGGGAAAAAATATTATTCGTGGAATGATACATACACGAGAGAGCACAGAGCATCAAGCCAACAAACCACCGACGGTGATCTCTTTGAGTTCAGTTCAGGCGTAAACTCGTATAGAGACGTAGGGAAGAATCCGCTGCGGGATCTAGGAAGATTTACGGATTTTATTATACGTGTCAATAAAAAAATTGGTTAATATTTAGCAATGGATTATATGTATGCAGTTAAATGAAAATTTTTTGAAAAAGATTCACCTTCTCACAGTACTCTGATCTCTTGTTCGCATGGTCGCTTGAGAACGGAGACTGCGTTTTTTCTCCGCGTCGAGGGTGGACCTGGCGGAAAACGTGAAGAAGCGGAGAGTCAGGCACGAGCGGCGCCGACAGATGCGACTCCTTCGTCGGTTCGAGCACGACACGTGTTCCCTCCTTGGTTCCTGAAGGGAAGAGAATGAGAGAAAGACGGTGAGGTAGTAGAAGAGAAAAAAAAATTGAAAAAAGTAAAGCAGAAAAATCTCGACTTCCCGAGCCGCGGCCTCTTCTGCGTCTCCTTTGAAATATCGCGTCATTATGGACAATAAGCGATTCCCAGATTCCTTCATGTCGAGTGCCCTTATCCTCCGCCACAGATTCCTCCGAACTTCAGCTTCACCTAATTCATCCAGCAGCTTTCAGCATCACCGAAGAGCTTCGAGAGGAAGAGAAGAGCCTTGTCATGTAGCAGTCTCTCGATAAACGACGGCTTGCTTACGTCTACTTTTCTCCATGCGGCCTCTACGCAATGGCTACTCATTTATTAAACGTACTCGCCACCCTGATCGTTTATAAACACATCCGCGCCTTCGACGAGTCACAAACCACCGGGATCTTCTCACTGTTTCACCTCCACGATTTTTAGACCCTTCAATACTTCCTCTTTAGCTACCAAACGAGATCGTTAGACTTCGCTAGATATACGAAGACGAGATGCCAGGAGTCTACAATATGGAGGTTACACGGTTGTCTCATTAGCGGCGTTCGTCAGTCACCTCCGTAGGCATTTCACTTCACTTGGATCATTCTCCTCCTTCTCCTACTCGAGACTTCCTTTATTTCCTTCCTTTTCTTTTTCTTCTATGAACTATTCTTACTCCCGGGTCGCTTGTTCCCTTTGATATGCTTGCGTGACGTTTTAACATTCCTTAATAAATTTCATATCATCCGTGTCAACACTGTATTTTCCATTCATTTTCAACAAGATTTCTTTCTACAAATGACGACAAGTTCGCTTAAAATATACCTGGTGCTCACCTACCATGAATCGAGTGTCTGTTTTCTGAAGAAGAGCTTGATATTCGATATGCATTTACGTACGCTTCTAATATTCCTGACCTCCTGTACAAGTTGCTCTGACGGATTCCCGACGAAGCGTAGTTCCTTGGATGCGCGCGCACGTCAACGTGGCTACGCGAGACACTGTCTCTTGCCGTATGTGTTTTCACTTATTTCTAATTCTAACAAATTGTCCTGGCTCCCTATCTCCTGCGAGTAGTCCTCCCTGTCAGGGCCGGGAAGCGGGCCAATCAACGCGTCACTAATTAAAATTCACGCCACCTTAAGCATCTCGGATCTCAAAAAGGACGCAACAAAAACACGTCGGACGTTTTCGGGACCGTTTTCTTTTTACGTTACTGCGGCGTATCTGATGTTACACATATATGCATTAGACGAGCATTCGAGAAGACTTCCGGCATCGTCTACACCAGGTGGTCTGTACTTAAACTTTTAACCCTAAATGAATAATATAAATATATGCTTCAGCACAATTAATTATGATATATATTTATAAAAAATTCGCAAAATGAATCATTTGAAAAATACATTTATAAGTGCCCTGCGCCCTTCTTCCCTAACGGACTAATTTCAGACACGAAGAACAGACAGTCGGTCTCCTCTAGACGTTCGCGAAACTCCGACTTTTTCGTTTCAGACCATTAAAGTCATTTCCTTCTCCTGAATATAGTGCGCATAATAAACCACGATTTTAATCACACACGAGAACTGACTATTCCATTCGCTAGCAATTCAAGTCTACGATTCCGTTAGAATCAGCCTTAATGCTACAATGTATTTGCACGTCGTACATTAAAGCCAAATACAGAAGGAGTTATCGCTCGAGAACGATTTACGATTTGGACGCGGCACGAGGCGCGTTATAATCCTACAATATTTCTCGGCATAATTTATCGCGCGATGTAAATATTGTTGCGGGTAAATATCGCATCCACCTACAACCTACTCAACGTGGTGGTACGTGGCAAGGAGCGGCCCCCAGTTATTTTAATACGTATCTTATTATAGCGAACCGGAGTAGTGCAGGTGCATACCCACCATATCCTTTGCTCGTGCAGCCTTTACGCTAGAAAGAAAGAGAGACAAGAAAAAAAGAACGAAGAAAAGGTATGAAAAACTAATGAAATAATAAAGCGTTCGTTCAAACACGCAAGTGCGTAACGCACGATGCGTTCTCGAACAGTCTGCCGTAACGCTGATTTACATGTACGCGAATTTAGCTCAAGCCGACAGCAGACGGTTTCGCTCTAGTCCCGGTCGTTGCAGCGTCTACAATAATATCAGGCTGCCCTTGTTTCACGCATCAGAGCCACGCCGTGGGAAAATAAAGAAGATTACGACACAAAGTCGCAAATCGACGACAACAAAATTCCTTGCGTCTTCTGTCGCTTTGAAAAGCTACACTGTGCGGCTTAACAGAACACGTAGATCGGACATAATGTAAGATTGTTTTGAGGTTGGACTTGGTTCGACGATTCATAGGGAATTTTGATTTTTTTAACAAAATTATTTTTGGACTTCACTACGCGTTTCTATAAACGCAAGAATCATTTCTCGATCGTAAGCGTACGAAACACGGATATCCGTTGGGCATTCCAAGAATGCCTTGCGGTAGTTCTTTAAGGTTAGTTTTCACACGAGACCGGAAATGTATCTAGTAGCGACTCCGTAATGTACCAATGCCTGGTTTTTGAAGATAGCCGACAGTCCTTGTCCTACAACGTGATTCAGTGCTTAATGGCGGGACGGTAGTTTCCTTTAAAGGCGAACGCTGTCACTTATTTCAATTTGTCCAACCGAATGAACACGGGATACCATAACCGATGTAAATGAAGGAGTAAAGGAGCATCCTCCTTGAGTCCAGCGAAGAAGACAGTATATAAAAAAGAAGAACAAAAAATGTCGAAAATTTAAATTTCAACAGACTAGAAGCCCAGCTCGATAATAATATACGTTCGTCTGGTATAACCCTTTTGAAATTTCCCGCCGTTCTCGCTCTATTGGACGATCAAATATTGTCAAGAAACTCTAATAGATATAGGTCCCCCCTTCGGTTCGCATTATAATCCTCCTTTGATGCGAAAGTAACGATCGAAAAACAATATGATTTAGAACTCCGAATCCACCTTTGATCTTCCACGGATCGTTGGCGACGCTACGTTCACGTTAGTCGCACCAAAATAGCGTATCGTAAATAAGCGCGATTGCGGTTACAGCTTTTAAAATGCTCGATCCTCAAAAAATTTATTTAATTCACCGGCCATACGGACCATTACGAATAAAAGCCCATAGTGACGTTTCCCCATTATAACACAATGCGTCTCCTAGTAGAGAATTCTATTGAAAACAGCGGGTGTCCCGCCTCGTAAGGCCTATCTCGAGAACCACGTTGTACATCGGACGAATCCGCCTTGGTTACTCTTATTACCGTCATTAAATCCAAAAGTAAAATTTTCTTCTGAAGAAGGAGAGGGGATATAAAAATAACAATAGGAAAAGTGAAGTGTCTCTCGAAGCAATGGAATGCCAAAGCGGTTACCTGGTCAAAGACTCTTTATCATAATTACTGCAATTAACAATCCCCACTACAGTAGCCATTACCACTTAAAGTGGCTGACCCTTCTCGGACCTCATGCTAGCTTTAAAATTATTCATTCCCCTTTCTTACCGACTCCACAGACCCTTATGCAGATTCTCAAGAGACTCCCGAGTCCGTAGGTTCTTCGTGTCTTGGGTTTGATCTTCTCGGTTGAAAGGTCCTGTATATACTACGTGTCCACAGTCTAATGCACTTATAGAAATGCTGCAGCTGGAAGCCTCGAGCTAGCCCAGGATTGCGCGGCTGAGTAACAGCGTGAAGTAACCGTTGTTGCTTCCCCGTAGAATCTCAAATAAACGAAACCAACCGAAACTATCGTCTAAAAGCGGTGGTTGCTGTGTCATCGTCTGGCGACGCACTTGCAGCGACGGTTTCGCGCGTTGCGAATTAATACGACATACCTTGAGGATTCACCTATTCTGGACTACGGATATGACACTGGATCAAAAGGACAGCCTGGACGTGGTAAGTTTATTGGGATCGTTTATTCGACAGCTGATTTTGATTATCCGTGTAATTTATAATTTACAATCATAATACTAACCGTAAGTCTTATTGTTCAAATATTCCAAATTTAGTCCGGCCCTTACGACTGGTCCGTTCAGACAACAGATGTTCGCCAAAAATTCACGGCGTGCGCTTCTGCTTGGTAAGCATGGTACGCAAATAGAACACCGTCGAGAGACGTCCAACTGTCTGGTGCTCTTGCAAAAATAGGATTTTCCGTCGTCGGTGATCCTTGGCCGAGAGAGGGCTTTAATAAATTAACTGGTAAGTAATCTGATAAGCCGATGAAAAATTGTCCAATTTACTTACGGAGATAACGTACGATATCGTGCCACGTGGGAGGATATGGAAAAAAAATAAAGAGGCTGCTGAACTTTATTTTTCTCTAACGTATATATATATATATACTAAATGAAAAGCAGCGCCACGTTGCGGCATCTCTAGAAATTATCCTGTGGGTGTAGCAACACGTTCGTGATACAACAACGTGAAGTTCAAGGTGTAATTTATTCTATGGTGGTCGGTAGTCGACAACCGGTCTTACACGAGTCTCTGCTCGGTTGGTCCGAGTCGTCGTGCTATAATGGTTATGAACGAGACTTAATGGTAGATCATGACCTGAGTCACGCGAATTCAATTTGCGTCACGGTGCTGCACTTCTTGGTCGGTTAGAAATGAGTTAGATGGGAGCAGATATAAGGAGTAGCGCTGTAAGGTATAGTTCACAGTGTCCGTTCAAATCTTAGAATAGGATTAGAAGTCGTACCGTTTGTAAATGGGCGTTCATTCAGCCGGAACTAGAGGTCTCCGAGGAGTAAACGACGTTTCTATTCAAATGCCTTGATTCCCGCTGTAATTTATTCCATTTTAAATGGTGCCTCGGATCTAAATAGGGGCGTTACCGTCTGGGGTGGCCTAATACATCGTTGTTTAGTCACTGCACGTACGAACTAGAATTTTCGTTGGATCCAAAAGAGAGTCGAATTTCATTTTTCAATTTAGATTTTCAAACTGAATTTTGTTTCTAAGAAATTTTTTCATATCGAATTTAAACGCTAATGCATAGATCGGAATTATTGCTCGGATTATCTAAGCTTCATCCACGTATGGTGACGTATGTCGTATCTTGGAATTTCGCGGTAACGCTTACGGGGAAGATGAAAAAAAATAAAGAAAACAGGATGAAAATTTGTGACGTACTTGCATCGCACGATATAAAAATAATGACCGTGACTAGAAGCCAGGAATACGCACTTTAACTGGAACACAGCGTGCAGTCCCAACTGTTTATTATTCAATCGCAAATTGGTCGAACACCAATTCGCAGAATGGCTTCGATCCCGCTCGAGCTAGTTAAACGTATATAATAATAACGAACGAGCAAAGTGCATTAGCCTGCGCGTAGATAAAGCAAAAAAAAAGGAACAAATAGAAAAATTTATCGAAATATCCCCCAAAAAAGAGATAAATCCAATCGTCGTGAGTAATAAAAAAAAAAAAATTATCCCGAAGCTTTTGAACTAACAAGAAACAAACCTTTATAGTAAATCAGAACCACCCACGAGAAAATCATTCCCGTATATATCACAATCAAACGACTTGCTCTTTTCGCGACCCACACGCTCTTTGGTTCCGAACGAAAGAAATAAAAAGGTAGGAATAAAAAAATAATACAAAAATTCAAATACTCAGGAGCGTAACATCGTGGCGCTCTGACACAGTGGCTCCCCCTGGACAATACCAAAGCAAAGCCATACGTGACTCCATCTGTGCAAAATACCCTGACTCTTCGTATAACTTTATGAGGGCAGGCATTTTTTTGCTGTCTGTGTTTGCTCGTCGGGCCGGTTCTCATGTAAACGATCGGAACGTGTCGAGGATCGTGGGTGGCATTTATCGTTGGAAAGTGTAAGAGAATTTCCATCGTATAGCTGCCGTCGCTCTACATAGAATTGAGTATGGCGTTGACTCCACTTTGTACTACGTTAAATAACAGTACACAAGGAGATCTGATAAGGAGGATAGAAAAAAAAGAATGAGATACAAAAATTACACATACTAGATCGTATGCACGTCTTATATCGTACCGGTTAATCGATGCGTAACTATTATCTACGGATCAATATTCTACGTAAAGCATTGGTTGTAACGTGAACAATGGAATCACGTTCACGAAGCGCCATTCGTCCTGCCTGACGAATAGAAGAAATCGATGGCGATGCGAAAGGAGCTGCCAGCTCACGTGTCCATCTACTTCCTGTAAAAACTATGCGATTCAACGCGTGTATAAAACGTTCATCCTGGTACGGAGTATGCGCCATATAAATGACAATGCACGCAACGTATGAACTTCCGTGAGTGCGGAGATCGAGAAGTCAACATTAAAAATGCGATTATCGTTATACCTGTAAGCATTGAGATCTGCGAGAGGGCACTGTCATATACGTATGACTATACGGTGTACAAGTGAATGCTGGGATCGATCGGCAGAAATATCGTTCGATTGGCTGGAAAGTTAACACTTGTTCTTGACGGTTCGTTATAAAGTTATGCCTGTCAATTTCAAAATTGATATTCAGATCCTTTGGACAGGTATCGATTTCGATATGTGATAATACAAAGTCACGTGTGACTATTTAGCTTCGGTATGTCGGATGCGAAGGTTAGGGAGCGAGATGGTAATGGAACGAGTGTGAGAGGGAGTGAGAGAGTTATACAGGCGGCAAAGAGAGGAACAGAGAGGACGAGAATAGCCAGGAAGAAATGTGACGAGAGAGAGAGAGAGAGAGAGAGAGAGAGAGAGAGATCGATTGAAAGCATTTTTATTTGAAAAATTTTTTTTAAGATTTCTTATATGGTATAAAAAATAAAATGCATTAGTAATATGCAAGATCCACATATAGCACCCTGTGGGGACAGGGACCCGGTGGGGTCCCTCTGTAAGAGATCAGCCGTAATCACATACCAGAGAGAGAGAGAGAAGGGAAAATAATAAAAGGGTTAAAAGTAAAGGAGAATAAAGTCCAGGGCTATTCCTGCGATCGGACTGCGGCCAGTTACCTTGGTAAGTATCGCGAAAGATGGCGGATGTACGTTTCTAAAATTGTATGGGCACATACGGTTATAGGGGATGACGTCGCGACGCCCGGTAACCGTGTCCATTCTCTTGGAGGAACAGCTGCGATATTTACACGATTTTAATGAGGCTTAAGGGAGGAAATTTTTTTTTCTCCCGAAGAAACCCACGGACCGTCCCTCTCGTTATTTATCGTTTTTGAATTTGAGTAACGTCAGCTCTCATCGCTTCTATTTAACTATACGGGATCTTGTTGTTTTGCTAATTTATCCTTTTACCTCGACTCCTCTGTTTTTTGCACTCTGGGATTTTCACTCGTCTTATTCACTACCCACGTTCACTCCTGCTTTCTTCGTCTTCCGATTCAATCTCGCTCTCTCTCTCTCTCTCTCTCTCTCTCTCTCTCTCTCTCTCTCTCTCTCTTACGTGCCCGATGCTGCTCTCGGGACTAGTACGAATTTACATACGTATCTACATATGTACGTAGTCCGGCTATTCCTGGTATCGCGGATCCAATGCCTGAATGTACATCGGTACGTTTACCAGCGGCAGTAGGAAAAGAAGACGAAGAAGAAGGAGCAGCGTTTACCAGCATCCCGAAGGGGTGACAGGTGCTGAGTGCTTCTATAAATTGTTTGCGAGGGCCATCTTAGGAAGAAAAATTTTACGGAGGACCCTTTTACTATCTTTAGAGAAGTGGTGGAGAGAGATTTGCTTCTCACTTAAAAGGATCGATGGATCCTCTCATGTTTCTTTGGGATTTCTAACAGTACGGTCGATTGGCTTGGACGATTTTTTATATATTGACCAAGGTGGGAAATTAGATTTTTGTGTCCAGAAGATGAATTTGGATCATTTTCATATTCAAGAACTTTAGGCTAGACGAGGCGGGGGGATGAATCAGGAAATAGTAGGCTGTGGAAATTCTGTTATTGATTATGAATGAGCTTCCAGGTCCATTCAGCTTGAACGTGACCCAGCATCCCAGCCTTGGTCCATCCACATCTTGTTGAGTTCTCTGGTCAGTTTCATTCTGCGACAGTTGCCTAAGGTCGCTGTTAGGACTTGTATGAATCGTGAAATGAATTATTAATGGAGTACTTCTTGGAACGATTATTTATATCGAGTATTATTGATTGGTAATTAAAAAAAATTATTCACTGACGTCATCGTTAATTATTATATCAGTGATCCATATTTTGGTGCCATTATCGAACAGTTTTATGGATATTGATAACAGTCATTAATGGGGTATAAATATTATTGATTTATCGATATTATCGATTATCATCGGGTATCGATGAAATTTTTCAAATCTTCGTATTATTTTCGAGTTCTAACCGCACTAACGTCGTGATCTAAAGCATTTTCTACTTTTTGCTCCTGTTTTAGATACGCGAAGATTAACTTCGCGTGTAGCTGGCGTACCGCGGATCGTGCCTGCTCCCTCACTATTTCCAGACGCGTTTAATTAATCTTGAACCCAAAACGTCGAGTGTAAAATGGCGTCGGTTAGTGCTGGCCACCTGGCAGAAATAGCAACGAGAAACGGTCGCCGGTTGCGCGATGCGAAATTCACGCACTTGGCACCTGCCTTCTACTCTGATTCGCGTGTACGGATTTTTCGTTCCAGTTATAATTTTCGCGAGGATTTTTGAAAATATAAAATTTTTACATAGACATTTTTTGAGGTTAAACTTTTTTTTTTAGTCGTTGTCCATATGAGGCTATTAGGCTAGAAACGTTTTTCGAGAATTTATTTGTAATCCTTATTTAATGTAAATCTACCTCAAGGATTCTAATAGACGCAGCTGCTTTCTGAAATTCTTGCTGCTCGTTATAGAAGTATCCGACTCGATAAAGCGTCCCTTCATGAATCTGACTCTAATAATAAACACACGGGGATGAATTAATCTGCACGGTAAGACCCTCGCCGGAAACCGCTTCTGAAATACACCGGATTGCGGAAATATTAAAGGAACTCCGTGAAACGTCCGTCCAGCTTGTAGTACTTGGTTGATTGCGTCAAAGATTCCCACCCACGTGTATGCGAATCGTGCCAAGTATGAGTTTTCATGAAAAATCGAGCGAACGCGACATTTCCGGAACTGACCACATCCGGAAACGAAAGCGTCATCTAAGCTGCACCGGCAAAGGCGGCGCAGGAAATTTCGTAAGATCGACGAGAATATTGAATTTCGTAGGAATTAAATAAAAAAAAAAATCCAACCGTATACTTAATTCGGAAAATCTTTAAAAATTTTGGAAAAACTTAACAATGTTTTTGACGTATTAATTTTTCATGTCAAATTCCGCGCAAACCATCAATGACGGCGAGGCAATCGGTACAGGTTAGAATGCAAAATTACCAATTGACATATCGAATCCAAAAAAAAATAATTAATTAGTAGACAGGGTGGGTGGTGTCAGGAGGTCATCGAGCTCCAGACAGGTTCGTAAGAAGATAAATAAAAAATCTCCAGCATCCAAGGAATCCTGGCAAAGTCTCCACGATGCCGTAGTTCCAAAAATATCAAATGAAAAATTTCAAAATAAATCTGACGAAGATGGTAAAAAAAATTCGAATTCTCATTTCGATTTTAATAACCAAAATTTTTTTTTTTCAGATTCCTCGGGCGCTTCTATAGGCGACATATGTCGTATCTGTCATATGGGCGGATTTCCACCCTTAACGAATTCACCGCCAATTTGGGAATGGCAGAATCAAACAGCCCGTTCAGTGGACAGTCAAATGTCGACCCTGTCAACCTACGCTTATCTGGGTCCATTGATATCAGCATGCAAGTAAGCATCGTTAACCATTGCAATCTAGGAAGTCGCATAAATCAATCGATTCCAAGGAATCCACAACGCGAGCGACAAGAACTCACGCGCTCCTTAAGATTCCTTAAGAAAACCGGTCGAGCCGAGCAATCACTGTCATCGAACCTCATCCATCACACGACTCTCTACCCGCCATTTTTCCGCAAGGAGCATAGGCAGAGTCGAGAAAGAAAAAAAAAATAAGAAATAAATATCGCTACTCGACCACTTAGCAACCTTAAGGGTTATACTCAATGAAAGTCACTCGCAAGAAACGCACGAGTTGTCGTCACGCGTTAACACACCGTCGCGCATCTTGCGAGAATGTACATAGATACATAAGTCCAACATCCACATTTTGTACCTAGGAAAAAGTCACGAGGTATTAAGAATTTTTCTAAAGGCAGCATTTCTATGAAATTCCAGCTGTCGCGGTACCGTGGGTCTCGTGCATGCCGAATGCTTGGAAAGGTGGCTGACGGAATCTGGACACAGTAGATGCGAACTCTGCGGACATAGATATGCTACCAAAAGAGTACCCAGACACAGTATCTTGCGAAGTGTCATCATCTGGTTTAGAACTGTCATAGCAACGCGGCAGGTAAATTTTTCTATTAATATTATTTATTATATTACGTAATTAATTAATTTCAAATTAATAGATGCTACTGGATATAATTTATCTAATGGTAACAACGCCCCTGGCACTATTTTCATGTTACGTATGTGCATTGGCCCTGAGGATGATCTTGGAGTCAGGACTGTACGAGATACCCTGGATGATAGTAGCCATGTTGCCCACCTGCTCTTTGACTCTGGTAGCTTACTGGGGATGGTTAATTACACTAGGAAGGTATATCAACAGGTACTAATGAATTTCAATAGGATTCTCAATTGTATCGACAACCCCTACAAAAAATTAGAAAATCTTTCATATCTCTATGCGCATTGACATTTTTTGGAAAAAGTCCAAAAATTTTTCCACTTAAAGTTTACCGGTCATCCCTCAGGTTACATGGACGACGCTGGCGTCGATTCTGGCGAAACAATTTCGTGGTTCGTCTGTTGCCTGAGAGAGGGTTGGTCTTCGCTAACGACGACGGCGATCCTCGGCCAATTTCCACGCCCAGTCGGAACCAACTGCCAAGAAATCGCGAGGAGACGTTGGAACAGAATCCAATTGACGACATGGAAGATTTCTTAAGAATCCTTTAACAATTTAACCATAGACTATGTAGAGTCATGGACGTACGAAGATCGCCGTACTCGATTTCCATGTATACGTGTATATACAAGGTTTAAGAAAAACAAAAAAGAAAATTCTGATAGATCTTATCAACTGTATGAACATTTACGACGTCGTTACTAGACCTCGTTGAGTCACGTTTCCTTTAATCCTGCGAGGCAACCAGGAGTGTCTCTAAGGACTAAATAATTTATGGCAACTGTCGGAGAAGGGACTGCGAGCACACAGAGAGAGAGAGAGAGAGAGAGAGAGAGAGAGAGGAGAACCAGTTCACTGGGTGAACAAGCCGAAGCCACGTTCTTCGCATAAATTGTCCTTTTACTTTTATTTTCAACTTCGATTCGACACATCCAATTGGAGATGTTCATTAGAACCTGTTAAATGTCTTCAGAGTGGTTCTGAAAGAGGACTAGAAAGCTCAAGGTTTACCATATAAGATTTAGGTATTAATTATAAGCAGTTTCGGTATCGATTTTTGTTTCTTCTCTCAAGTCTTTTATATCCACTTCTTATTTTTTTTATAAAGAAAACAAAATTTCACGATCGCGTGAGAAGTCAGTGTGGGCGATTTGCGAATCGAATCCGACTACCGGTTTGGCGGCTCAACTTAAAGCCTCTGCAATCTCATGTCCATTCATCGGTGCAACTGATAAAACTTTCAATTTGTCTTATCAGCAGATTTATACCTGAATCTATCAGTTATGCGCATACCAATCACAGATAGGTATGTTTCTTGAACATAACGAGCAACGAGAGTCATTATTATTATATATTGAACATTTCTTATCGGTAATAAATTGACACGATATCTAATTTAATGGAATCTCGAACAAAATCCTTTTTAACAATAATAGAAAAAAAAAACTGACATTTAACCTAATCTCTAAACTCTTACGACGGTCCATTGATACCAAGGATTTAAGACCTCTTTCTAAAGTTAGTCGTATGCGATACCCTACATTATCGCACATTAAAATGTAAACTGCCTTTAAGTTATGGCTCGATCAAAGTAATTCTCAGACAACATTCCGAGTCGCCTAATATCGCAGGACCTTTTGTAACGCAAGAAAAAAGGAAGATGCTCGTTAAGGATCCCGAATCATTAAAGCAACGATCCTGCCAAAAGGATAATTAAATTAAATAACGTCAATGGATTCTGATCCCAGTACTTAAAGTCGTCACGTTACTAAAAAAAAAATAATAATAATGCTCTCCCAAATAGAAAAAAAAATCATTACAATACATATATTCGTATATATTATAAAGCAAATTGTTTTCCCAACTGTCATTCAGTGGCGTCGCTTTAGACACCCGGTGATTAACCGTCGCCCACATGAATCCCGCAAGAACAATAATTGTTTGATTTACAACGACGTATTCGGTCGACTATTTCGGTATAGGAATAGTAGCGAGAGGGTTATGTCGTTTCCTATAGAAAAACCGTCTATTTTCGAGACTAGTCTAGGAGAGTCTCGTTTCCGTCCACGCAGCATCTTCCTGCGTTACAGTCGCGTTATTTTTAATTGCCTAAACGTAAAAGCACGAGCGTCCAGAGACAGTACGATCAATATCGTCCAGTGTTAAGGATCCTTACGCGATTATAGAAAATTCACATGTAAAAGCCAACCTGAGGTATACTGTCTTCCGGCGCGACAAAACACGAGGTTTAATGCGTATACAGCAAAAGGGTCGGAACGACGCTCGTAGCTCATCGAGCGTTTATTGAGCCGCCATCTTTTCTTCTCTCTCTTGTGTTTGTTGGTATTCCTGTATTATGCCGTCGCCCGGGACACGGAGGAAGAAATGAATCTTTTACGCGCCATCTCCAGAAATGCATCCGGTAGATCCTGCTGCAGTCGTATGCACCGATACCCGTATACGAGTATTCGTAAAAGTTGCTTGTGATATTTAAAAATATTAGCATCACGCGGCAAAAGTCTACTACCGACCGGAAGTCACTTGAGAATCTCATGCTATTATATCAATATAACAACAGCACTAGACTTATCACCGTCGTAATACTACGAATATACAAGTGATGTATAAAGCTATGAAATAACTCGTATCCTTACCGGGAATTCTCAAAGTGCGATCCTAGTCGCTGGAATAGAATTAGCCTTAAAGCCACTGGCGTCTGCTGGGAGATTCTGGGCGCGAATTGCTCGCATAAATAATTGCAACTTTTTCTAATCCAGACCTACCAACCTGTCAAATTCATATTTATCGTTCTCCTGGTACAGGTGCACGCATTGGCGTAGATACAAAAATAAATATGTATTACGGTATCAGGGTTGACTTGTATTGTTTGTATTATTTTTTTATATAAATTTTTTATAATAATTTTTTTATCACCGTATTGATTAAGCCGTTAGGTCTTTTTGTAACGATATTGGCAATTTTGTTATTTGTCGCTCTGATGAATATTCTCGTAGGGATGCGCCCTGCCAGTGGATCTTGTCGATGTAACAAAATCCCTTTTGCCAGCCTGTAAAATATTGCCAATTACCAAGGGTCTATCCCAGTTGCCGAAATTTATTGTCGATGATAAAGGTATCTGGCTCGAGCCGTACAGCAAAGGCGGCTTAACAAGCACCACCACCAGTTTCCAACACGCAAGCCAATAAATTCGCGGGCATCTCTCTCTCTCTCTCTCCCTCTCACTCATTGTTTGTTAAGATATTTTCATTTTTTTTAATACCCGCATCAACGATTTTCGCGAACATCGAAAAATCGAGGCTTAACGAACCACGCGTTTTCTATTATCTCTTTGCCATTTGGTATAGGCACTGGAGTGCTGGAGTAGCTATCAGTGTGAAAAGCCCTTTAACCTTCGGGATACGTTAGCACGCGTCGAAGATATATTAGAAGAAAGATAAGTAGTTCAGAAATAAGTATTAAAGCAGCGTTTAACCCCAGCCTTGCTCGCGACTGATTTATATGTTTTCCGTCGGTTTAGACAGCTTCGAAAAGGTAAGCACGAAGCCTTGTGCCACGGATAAAAATATCTTGGTTGATACAACTTGACTCCTGTCTAAGAACCAGGGAATCGATGATCACGATCCTGTAAGCTGGATCATTTATTTCAAAAAAAAAAATTGGTATATTATTATTATATTTTAATACCTTGATTTCTACCCTATAGTGTACTATACGAATTAGCTCATGAATTCTTCGAAAGTTATTACGAAGGAACCTTAATTTTCGAGACGATTAGGAATATCGCAAAGGAAGGGTATAGTCAAGCTAGAGACTTTGGATTTTTCTTGGGGAAGTCAACGTGCTTTATATCGCTCCCTAGGGACTCCGGGGCCAGGAATACCAGAGATTCCTGTCTTGGGAATCGACCGATAGACCTTTCTTCTTAATGAATTTATGTTCCCACAGTGTTATCTATGGTCGAAGTAATAGTCAATTTGTTTAGTGAGTTCGAATAGACGTAGCTCCGAAGAAAAATTTTTCAAGCACGCATTACGTGCACGTAAAAAAATTTTCTCTATCGGACAATGCGTCCGTGACACTGCGACACGTAGGCATTGCCCTGATCAGGATTTGAACCTAGATTACTTCGGTCACAAGATTAGGGTCCTTAGTACTAGAGGCAGTTGAGGGAGTAGAGAGAATCGGATGAGGGGCACACTGCATATAGCAAAAGAAGAATAAGTTCACAGGCTAGGAGAAATACCTAGCAGGATAAGGAAGTGCAGGATGAGATACGACAAGATGGGGACAGTCCACCAACCGGGTATACCAAAAGGCATGACGTCATAGTCAGGTCATCATGATCATCCTGGAGGCCGTAAGAGCACCTGGTCAGATAGCAGAGCGAAGCACCCTTGGGTAGGTCAGCATCTCAAGTCAGTACGAATGGGATGAACTAAGAGTCAAGCTGAAGGCGGGCATGAGGATCCTTATTGAAGATTTTATAACGCAAGGCGGATATATGTATACGTATATATACGTACGTCGTTATCACTAACTGGAAACGATCCTGAGATGATTACAGGAACTACCGGCGCCAATAAATCATAGGTGGCTAATCAATTCATACTCTACTTAGACAGATAACTATAGACACCTATTTGTTTGATTCGATATATATATGTATATAGGAGGGACAGATGTAGTACGTATGGTATTAAAGACAGGCAATAAATTAAAATAATGACAATCACGACTATCGGGGACTTGAAAATGATCTATGGATCACTGTCGGATCGTTCTAGATCTCGACCCGCGTGATCAGGCGTGACTCCTCAGAGATTTTTGGTACCGCGCGCATAATTGTGCGCAGCATCCATAACATTACTTCACAAAGATTTTCCTCTTTTGCTCCTCTGATCTACCAGAACAGCGCGAATTGAAGGGAGCACATGTGCAATAATATTTTAATCTCATTATTTTTTTTTGTATTGGCGCAGCATCAATCCAGCATCCATTATTCCGTGTATACATAGGGAGTCGTACACTCGATCTCGCAAATATTGTGAGGACAAACAGACAAGGTTGGCAGAGAGCGCGATAACAGTCTGGGACAATATTATTATTCGCGGTATGTAAATCGATCGAGATTTTTGAAACGTGCGAAATAAATTTTTCCAAAGTGCAGACGAACGCAGCCAAGAAATTATTTTGGTGCATCTTCATTTTTCATTTTTTACTCACTCAGCTACGGCTCGAGATTGACTTTGGCAAATGGACCATGAATATTCAGTGGGAGTTTTATCCGCGAATACACAAGTAGGCGGTGGACCATTGTGACACGCCAGATTCGCACCGGCAGGAAAAAGTCAGTGGGAGGCGCGTGAACGCGCGAAGATGCGCGTCCGAGTAGCGGAACACGGAGGGAGTAGGGAAACACCGTGTATTTATTGGTTTTGGCACGAAGGCGTCATTTTCGCGAAGAAATCTTCAACCGAAGCGCCAAATTAGCAGCGGCTCGTAAATTAGCACCGATATATATTGAACGCTCGATAAACAACAAGCCCTCTCTTGCGAATTTATCGACTCTCTCTCTAATGTACTTGCTTCCACGTGATACGAGTTTCCGCCAAGTTGAGTTACGATCGTTCCTCCCGCTGAAAACACTGCCATTAATCCCCTTCGTGGCAAAATAAGAAATTAATTTGATATTCATTAAAGCGCAAATAGAAAAATATATTCAATTAAAGATTTGCCATTTTTAGGTAAAAACATTATGATTCGCAGTAACGCGGCGTTACGTCACGCCGACTTTCCTTTATATGGATCCGACCGTTTCCGTTCCATGGCATTTAACATTCGCAACACGCTCGGCAATTTCTGCACGATGCAAAATATTTTTTTTGCGCACTTTTTTTTTACGCTTGCATATATCTTTTCTTTTGTGCCAATTCCCTAGCCACTACTAAGTGTGGCCGGCGAGGGACTTCCTGGACTTCCTAGCAATTAGTAATAACGGGCAGGAACGAGGCTATACACTAACGACCCCGGTTGCTCTCTCTACGATTACCAGCGTTCGCTGCTCTTCACCGACGTCCACTGCGTGGAGGCTAAGCGTCTGGATTGTAACTTTGGCCGTTTAATTGCCGATTACTCACTGTCTCCTAACCCTCCCGTAATAAGTCGCTGATTGTTACTTCCGGTGCGATCCTCACGATCCTTGGTTCAATGACTTCTTTCCACCGGGGTTCGAGAATCGGGAAGACGATTCGAAGGAGTGAAAACAATCGGTAACGCCGTCACGCTGTTCTAGGTGGGAAAACAGGCTGATAAGGTAAATGAACTTTGGTGATTAATCGCGAAGGCTGTCGAGTGAGGACAGAGTCGACAGTAAGGTATCTAAATGTATCTTAGTCTAAGTGGTTCTTTGGCCGAGCTGGGTGGCTGATTAGAGCGTCTTCCCGAACCCGTAGAATTTCGACGTGGCTAACGAGCCAAGATATTAGCCTGGGGTCGCACCGAAATCTCTTCGTATCATCTTCCTCCATGGACCATCTGACGATCGCGATTTTTACTCACGTGTCCCGAGCGACGTTAAATAATATTTTCAATAAAAGACAGTAATGCGTTTGGTAAATTATTTGAACCGGAAGAATATCTTATTCGGGACTCGCCTTTAGCCTCGGGCTAATTATCACAGTCAAAATGGGCATTAATGCCAGGCATAATTTTCCTCACGCCTTCAGACCCACGATCTAAATCCGTCATCTATTTTTGGGACTTACCCCTTCTTAACTTCCCCTGCTTCCTTTTGTACGGCCTGAACAAGCTCTCGTAAATTCACCCCGGCCAATAGCCACCGCGGTGGTCAGACCATGTTGTTATTTGCAGTCTTAAAGGAATTTTCAAGGAGCGACAGGAATCCAATACCCAACGACCGTATGGAAACATGAGAGAATTCAGCAGCGTAAACGGCTGAACCGTTTTGCTTATTATTGCTATCAATAATCGGTTCTTTGCTCTCTTTTATAAACATCACAAGATCCCCAGCCTCTTAATGCCCAATGGAAATAAATGCGAAGTTAACCTTGGGTTGTGTAACATTAAACAGACGGAAGTATTCCGTTCGCTAAAATTCGTTTCACATAAAAATGCCGATTTACCTTATTTACTTATTCCAGAAAAAAAAATTTTCCTATCGCCGTTCAATCTTACGATCAATTCCCTATACGCGCTTGTTACTTACGTCAGTTTCCCTAGCAACCTCGTAAGGTAACAGAAATCTAGGGACATTTGTTTGATATTTTAATCTCAGCGAGCATCCTCGAATGGCTGTTTTCCACGCGTGTTTTTCGATCCCGTCGCGCATAACTGGCGTCGGATTAGAATTCGAATTACTATCGTCCTCTTTAGTACTACTATAGTATAATTATAGTCGTATAAACTAGTAGTACCGTCTCGGAAAAACTAGATCGAAATTCCAAGCTTTTAAGTATGTTTACGAGGAGTAAGGTTTAAGAGACGCATTAGAAAGCAGGTGCAGGTCGACGTGAAAGGATCCGTAATTCAAATCTAATGTAAGTGTACACCCATATCTATCCGATCTTAAAGATTTCTTTCTGACAAGTTTAACGTACTGATGAATACACGATTAAATCAATTATCGGATCGCCCGTGGGTATCCATGAAAAAAAAAAATCTTACGTCACCTTCTATCTATTACAGGTTTATAACTCACGGTTTAATCATAGATAATTAATAGGAA